ATATAATCAATTACATTCAAATTAACATGTGTTTTAACATTTTATTGGAAAATGTAATAATTATGCAGAAAAAAAATAATTTTCCAACAATAGTTCAAATAAAGGTGAAAATAAGATAGTAATGATAATTAGTTGTAAGTAAGTGCTATGTACCATTACATCATTATTACATCATCATTACATCATCATTACCAAATTCAGAGATGCTACTGATGCCATTAACTTTTTTATTGAATTGTTTCATAACATTAGTTAAGAGTCAACACTTCTACAGTGTACCCTACAACTTTGATGAAATAAAAATTACAATTTTATGACATGTTGTCTGACAGTTATTGATAAATAAAACGTTTGGCACCACTTGGTGCCATTTACTTATATACTGTGTCTGCAAAGCAGTTTTTGGCTCCCTTTTTTATTGGTAAGATGTATAGTAGTATATGCAACAGCCAAAACAGCAACTTACCCCTGATAGGTTGAAATATGATCACTTATGTTCATTAATTACTGTTGCTATGGTCAAATCACCAAGACAGGAAGTAAACAAAGAAGTGAATTATATACTACTCACCGGACAACATATTGTACTGGCCATTCTTCTGTGCCAACTTTGGAGACCTTCAAAAGAACTTAAAAAAACATGCAAAGCTACTCGATTTCAAATGCTATCATATTTATTCTACATATAGATAGCATTACCTTCAATTTTAAACCGGTCACAATTTGCCCCCTGTTTGGTACCGAAATTTTGCCGGGCTGATAGACTATCACGGCTTATATCCCATCAAAACGAAAAAGTGTGTTGGTCACTCCCCTGCCAGATGACCCAGGTCATATGATATATAGTCGTCCGGCCTTAAAAAACTTTAGTTTAAATTTGGTTACTGAATTCGAAGATATTAAAGTTAACCTGAGTGCAATACCTAATATTTCTACGCTTATTATTGAAGTCTTGTTCGGAGATGTACCGGTAGATGCCTTCGAAATATTACCAGGTCTATCGATTAAATGGTTCAAGAATCACGAGCGTCAACGTTGCAGTATTATTCATATCGGAGCATCGCCCGTTGCAACCCTCGAGGGGGTCCAAATTATTAAGAGTGGTAGTATTTCTCTTTCTAAGATATTCTTGCCGTATAATATACATTTAATAAGGTTGATGTATAGTCTCAAAACATTTAAGCAAGACCAATTAAAGACTATTATATGATCGTTATATACACTATGAGTTTATATCCGGCGCTCAATGAAGCATTTGAAAAGATGGAAACTGTTGATGGATTTCGATTACATCAAATAAGCGACATAAAACATCGAATAGAGAAGGATAGGGAGTTGAGACTTGGATTGTATAAAAGGTATCGCAGAGCCGTGAATGCTCTGGACGGAGTTCACACCACTCTTATAGTATCTGGCATGGGACTCGGTGTAGCGGGTATCGGTTTACTATCAACTATAATCGCCGCGCCTATCGTGCTCGGCATGGAAATAACCGCTGGAGTATCGGGACTGGCAGGAATAGCGATAAAATTCATTTCTCGTAGGTTACAAAAGAAAGCATTAAAACACGATAGTATTCGGATACTCGCCGAAGCAAAGTTGAACAGCATTGAGGATCATATTTCGACAGCAATGGCCGATAGTAAGATATCCGAGGATGAGTTTCGTTTAGTGCTGTCGGAGCTTAACAAATACAACGAAATGAAGCAGGAGATTCGATCAAAATCTCGTAAGACCAGTGGTATTAGCGAAGACGAGAAAAAAAAGTTCATAGAAGAGGGGGGGCAACAAGCTCGTCAATTATTCCGTGCCAAAAGCAAAGAACTGGTTGGAGATTAAAAATAGATTGCTTACTATCGTGTGATTACATTTAGACAAATGCTAACATAAATATATAATAATGGAGAAAGCTATTCAATGGAAAGAATTACCACAAGGTTTTTATTATATCAGTGATGCCAAACCAACCAAATACGGTTATCAATTGTTTCTTATCAATTTACAAAAAGAGTGTAGTTATATAGTCTGGTCTCCTAGTAAAATGAACGAAGAACTTAATAAAAATGTTGAATATCGCTTTATCGATAAAAATAATGAAGAATATTTTTATTACCATTTAGGCTCATCTAAAGCAATGATTAGCCCCAGGTATTGGTGAGCTAGAGCCAATTTAACTTAATCTCATGACTATCATTAAATCGCATCATCATTTTGGCATAAAAAATTCCTCCTGTAGTAGCAGTATAGGTATATGAATCCTGCTCCAGTGGAAGTGGTCCAGAACCCCTATTACCTATACTACTCATTCAGATGTTGAAAACAAGCAGGAAGTAACTCGACATTCACATCAACTTTATATAATCACTACTCCTACAGAAACGCTGCTGCATTACATACGTTCTGTGATCCTGACACAGCAACACGTCATAAACAACAGACTGATTAACTTTCTTACCTTAATTAAGGGAAATGACACAGAGAGATGTACAGAAGGCGTCTACATACACGTACACAGACACCACTCCACCTAAGCCTTTCTGCACACGCGCAGTTGCTACTTTCGTTATTATAACAACTTGAAAGACATGACTACCTCGTATGGTGTGTGCAGTCTCATACAATGGTAAATAGGTCAGTTGTAAACACACATTGTGGTGTGTCGTGGATGCAACCAGGCACGTATATGCACAGACAAAACAAAAACTCTTGTAGACGAATATGCGCGCAGCTGCAGCAAATTGATAAATGAATTCATGTTACCAGTGTCAGTGGAAACTCGAGTTTTTACATGGCATTTTTCATGTAACACCTCATATCAAACCGAGACCCCCATGCCATCCCGAGGGCCAAATGAATGGTGGTCGATATATATGATACAATAACCTTTTTATCATATACCATAAAATAATGTATCCATTCATAAAGATCCATAACATTTTCACCTTGTTGAGAAGACGCTGTCATGGGAATATTAGCCGAGCAGACGACGCACCAACTCCAATCGGGTTGATATCAATAGCTCATTCTAAGTGCACTGACAAGGCATAACAGCCCTCCAGGGGTGTAACACGGGTCTGGTTATTGTGATACCCCCCTGTGATATGACCATCTCCATATTGGCATACAGGGGTGTAATAACCCGGCCGTGCTGATATAACGATCGAAATCAGCCCGACTTATGTCCCTTAGTGCGTCGCCTGCTCGTTTGTTGACAGTAATATAATGTATTGCATTCACTGGCAAACAGATACATTTTACAATGTTATGCCATGGTATATGATAAAAAGGCCATATCACTCCTCGACCCCCCATCTGGCCTTCGGCCCTCGAGCTGATATGAGGGTTGGGGTTTGATATGAAAACTGCCATATTATAACCTCTAAATATCACAGTGAGTTAAATCAAAAACTGTATAATCTGAATATGTCATATCTGTCTTGGTTGATCAATCTTTGTTTGCATTTTTTAAGTTAATTGGTGTAGTTAATCGAAATTGGTGTTCAAGAAGAGGACATATATTTGCGATTTGCAATAATTGAACTTTAGGTTTTGTATATCTACCTTAGCCCAATGTCATTGGTAATGTTGAATATCATACTGAGTTCGAGGAACACGTTCAAACCTATTAATCTGAATCTATCATATCTATCCATATCTTTCAATGATGGAACTTCTTTTTCTCCATATCATTTACCTAGAGCACAGTTTGACGAACAGCGTTTGTCGCATGCGGCATTCCAACCTGTAAAGTCCACAGCGAAGAACTGTTCTCAACTGTCAAGGCGTCATGGAAGAAATCAAGAGGAATTGACAATGGCAAGTTTACTGACATCAAGACTTATAGTTAATCCGTTTATGAAGGTGTGTATTTGTGTTTAATTCAGTTCTGTACTTTGGCCGTACGTATTATATTCTCAGCATTTCGTTAAAATTACCCTTTTCATGATCAGGGTTATGTTTGCTTAGAATAATGATAATTGGGCCCTATTATCGCCCATCAACATAACGACAAAATACGAATATGTAAACAACATATGTGTGGACGTTCTTTTCTGATTACGTGTAATTACACACAGGGAACTTGTGTACTGAACTACACTAGGTGATGTAGGCAATACTGGATTTTCTGCTCCGGTCGATGATTTTGACAAAGGACACGCTTAAGAACAAAATGACTACTGTGAAACTCATAGTCGAATGACATAGATACATATATGCCAAATTCCACATGTCACGGTGACATCGTGGTAAGTATACAGAATCTACATCTCCCCAGTAGTGGGGCGATGGGGTAGCCTCGTAGTTAAAGCGATCGCTCATCACGCTGCAGGCCCGGGTTCGATTCACAGCAAGCTTAAGGGTACAATGTGTGAAGCCCATTTCTGGTGTCCCCTGCCGTGATATTGCTGAAATATTGCTCAAAGCAGCGTTAAACCTCAATCCCTGCTGGTTACTGACAGAGCAAAAAGAGTCAAGTAGAGTGCATGCGGGTTGCAGTGTCTCTCGGGTAATATGAAGAATAACCAACTCGGAACTCACACCAAATGTCCTATTATGCTACATGCCGCACATAGCAACGTCACTTCATATCAAGAATAGTTGCAAATAGTTAAATATGATGTCATGCATTGTGATAGTGGTCAGACACAGTTTTATGTAGCGTCGTTCCGAGATATTTTGACTGAGCTTATATATCCATGTGATACACGGAAACCGTGATATTTCACAAAAAGAAACGTGTGCCGTAGGATAATCTCTAAATCATTTGCAAATGCCTATAAATATTCTCATGTGAAACACTGATAATGATGTTAAAGGAGGTGGTCGGGTAGCCTTGTGGTTGAAGCGTTCGCTCGTCACGCCGAAGACCCGGGTTCGATTCCCGCTATGGGTACAATGTGTGAAACCCATTTCTGGTGTCCCCCGCTATGATATTGCTGGAATATTGCTAAAAGCGGCTTAAAACCATACTCACTCACTCACTCTTAAAATTAAAGAATCAATCTAGCAGTACTGTAAAGATATATTAAGAACTATCAGCATTGCGTATTTAGCGACAAAAGCCTTTACAGAATCAAAAGAAATCTCTGCTTAAAGGCAAAGTCTGTTGTACGATTCCGACTATATCATGAGCAGGTGTCTATGAATCACCATCACTTAGTGATGATACGAAGTGTACACGTAAGGTAAGAGCATCCAGGTCCACCAGTGGCACCCGTCACAAACACATGCAAAAGTAATTCAAGAGTTCACCTGCACAAACGCGGGAACATAAAGAAAAGTTAAAACAAGGAATTACATCGCCATCATTTTCTTCACGTGTCCTTCCACATCGGACATAAAAAATAGTGGAGTTGAATTTAAGACATACAATATGGTTCGAGCCTTTCGGGTGAGCAAGGAAGGATGGGATGCACACAATGGTCGCTGAGATCTGTACGGGAGGAATGATCACGAACTCTTTATTCTTTCACTATGGACGTCGGGTCCTGGAGACCATCCCCTCTGATGATGTTTTACGCGTTTATTCACCGTCTAGTCATTTCCCTTCAGAGATAACAACTGGGTCATTCCTTCTGATAGTGTAAGGTTTTGACCTGATATTAGTTCACACGTCATGTTTGAATCTTGGGATGCATCTAGATACACCATGACCCAGAATGTTCTTTCACACACAGTGTCAGTCACAGACTGAATCACTGTAGTGTTGCCAATGTCAACAACATAAATCTTACTGCTCCTACCGCCCAGTAGAGTGTCTAGATGTAAGGCACCTGCCTTACCAATTTGATTGCAAACAATAGGTATATCAGAGAGGAGTTTGCCATCAAACCTCACCCAGAGACAAAGCTGGTGCTTATGCTTTGGACATCCTATGATACGTACACTCAGTCCAGTTGATTGGTTCCAGCAAGTATCTGCGGGGTTGGCAATCATTGCTGTCTCAAACACCATGCTTCTTTTCTCAGTGACCCTTTTTTCAAAGAGAAGCTGACTTTCACCAGAAACATCTCTCGGCTTCCACCTCTGATAACCAAAGGTCTTGATGTCAACAGACGTCTCCACGACCTTTTTCGACATTCTATGTCTTTGGGCGGAGTCTTGGGCTTTGCATTTGTTACCAAAGTATCAGATACAGTGATGTCGTCACTCGCTGTACTGCAGTGCCATTCAAGGTGCGGACCTAGGGAGGAAACAAGAGACGAACTAATAACACAAAACACATTCATTGTAAGTCTCATTCACAAATACACATTATTGAATCAGTATAACATAACACCCATTCAAGTTGACAGTCGCCTCATAACTGAGAATGTTTTTATTAAAATGATAAAAGACGAAATATGTATTTTCCATCTCCCATGTATTATTCCTTCAAGTAAAAAAAGTGACATTTCATTTCAACGAAATATATAGTACAAGACAAAGCAAATCATATGAACAGTTATATGGGTTTTTTTTAATGTCCTTCATCTATCCATCGAACTTCCACGACTATCTGTAGCTTGGGATTTTTTGTCTGTTTGTTATTTAACGCCGCCAGTTATATGAAGGCGGTCTGTAAATATTCGCGTTTGGACCAGCATCGATCTGCGCAATTGGGATATTATGACAAACAGAAAACAAGTCAGCGAGCCTGACTACCCGATCTCGTTAGTCGCCTCTTACGGCAAGCATCTGGTGCTTGTGAAACCGATGAGGATGCGTATGATGTAGACAAACAAAGAGTCATAGTCAAGGTTCAATTTTGATTCAAACCAATCATCTACAGACTTTGGCATAACCGTCTACGGAAATCCGCACAGGAGCCTTACATCACAGGTCAAGCGGTGCCCCTTATGTTGATGGGCACATGAGTAAGATAAGTTGGAGCTTAAATACATGACATCTCACATGAAATGGCTTCATCTCCACTGGAAATCGTCTTGTCCACATCAGCGACTTAAACAGATTACAATGTAACTAAGAAATGAAATAGACCAACTGTCGAACTAAAGATTATGATATACCTTTATCTATTTAAAACTAAATGTTAGTTTCACTACAACATACCCAAACACACTATAATAATGAATATATCCAACCGTTTACATTTAGTTATAAACTTAAGTCATTATAAGCAGACGTGGGACAGTAGTCATCACAAACTGTCGAACCACAGCTACCTCATGTCGACAATAACATTTTATAGATATTTTTACATACATGTACATAATAAAAATTAATTTACCCTTTTGAAATTCTGCAGGTGTCAGTGTGATTGCAATGTATCTGTCAGCCCCTGGTACATATCCCGGCCTCTGTGTTGGGAAGTACGTGACTGACCTTATCAGTCCTGCTCCCTGGATTGCGGAGGAAAGGTGGGTCAGGTTGGCAGGTACAAAGCCTACGCCTGTCCTCGTATATTGTTTCTCAATGTGAGACTCCTGCAACATCCTTTTGAAAGAAGAAGCCGATGATGTCGTAACTTGTAGATCTTCTGTCTGGTCAGCTCTACTCCTCATCTGCTGTGTGGTTGTCCAAAGAAGACGTTACCTTGTTTAGCAGTTGTTTAGTTGACTCTACGGCCTCGTTAGTGAGTTTAAAACCATTGCTAAAAAAGCCTTCAATGTCTGACAAGGATCCGTCTTCTGTCCTGAAGTTCTATTATCTTTGGTCAGTGCTATGTTTGGCAGGTTACATGGCAAAATCAATAACATGCTCGCGTTGTCATAGCCTCATATGTTTGTAGGTTTGTGTGTGGCTTAAAACTAACACAAATATATATGTGTATTTATTATTTATAGTTATATATATTTGTATGCCAATATATTTGTGCTTTTAAATATTTATATATTCCGTCTTTACACTATATTGCTACCTTATAGTAAAGAACGATGTGTGTTGACATTGCTTCATATAGAAGAATGCAGTGCTGTCAAGCCCGTGGGGTATTGATGATGTGAGGCAAAAGAAAGGTAACACAATTCACAAGCACGAACAGTTTAACATCGGTTTTGAAGAAGCATTTAACACATATCCAATTAAGCGAGGCTTAAATATACTTATACCAGTAGACTTCATATATCCTGTATAACAATGCCCTTTCCTTTCAAAAACAATGATCAGTTTCTGCATTGATTCTAAAACATCTAGTTCCCGGTTATGTTTGGTCACTTGCAGTCTATGCAGCTCGTAAGAGGTAAGAAAGTGGATCTGGTGACCTACAGCCCTGCACATGTGTCAAACACACGAGAACTGACAGGTTTTGACAATGCTCACATAGACGGCCAGGTTAGTTATTACAATAGGGTTTGATGTTATCGTTGTAGGTTATCTCAATAGCCGCGTTCCTGTTTCAGTTAGTGATTGTGTTACACAACATCATTTCGTCAACATTTCAGCCGTATAGCCACAGGAATAATCTTTGCAATCATAAAAAAGGTATATACAATAAAACTGTAAAAAAACAGATTCAATATAAAATATTCTCTTTCAGATGTGAGTGTTAGGTTTCCGCAATCATTCAAAACATTTGATGAATTATCATGGAAATGCGATATTTGACCTCAGCGACTTCATGCATGAAGCAATTCCTTGAACTTTACTTGATTGTTTTCTCCGCGTGCAAAGACGTCAGTTCCTCGACTTTGTCACTGGTAGCATATTTAGATATGTACTTATCTCCTTGTTAACAATAGTTTGGCTAAAGTTGAAAATATCAGTTTGAGTTAAACTGTCACAGACGGCATACCAAAAACAAAAGGCAAAGAAATGCTATACAATCAACAACTGTCATATAGAATTAACTAAGTTTACAAATCGGTACAAATTACTGCAAAGTAATTACAACGGGTGGACACACTATAGTGGTAGTACAAAATCCACAAAAGTATATGTGAGAGCAATAAAGTCATTGACATTAATATTTACCTTGAAGCAACAACGGTCAATCTTCCAAAATAGGCCTAGTCTGGATGTCAAGGGTGGAAATAATGATCTTCACACGATTATTTTTCACCAGCCTTGACTGTTGACATTTCAGCAGATGCACTCAGTGCATCAATGGAATGTTTGAAGCCTATGAGCGTATACATAGTTGACACAGGACACTAATTCATAGGGCGAAACTAACGATAGATCATGGTGAATGTAGCGTTTTCTCACTAATTATACAGAACCTCTGTGTCAGAACCAAAACTGTCACATTTCTTTCAAATATTGGCGTCGAATGCCGTGAAATCTTGAAACTGACAGGTCACAAATCACTCGTGTCGTGTCACTCATCTGCAGCCTAAATTGCGGCTGTTCCAGTTCCATTGGCAATCACGTTGCACCAACAGGATCATTCCCAATAAATCAACAGGTTAATGTGAAACCACATCATAGATCTTGGTTCGTGTAAAGCACTCGGTTACAAATTAAAGTAAGAGGCATCTCCTCTACAGGGGGACTACATCAAATTTCAAAACAGGGTAAGTTTATATTTTAAATGACGATGTTTCTCACACAAATTCAAGCAATTTTGAAGCCCCATTCAAAACATTGCAACATAACCTATATGTTGCACTTCACTTTTTCATTCATAATCCAGTTAATATAACATCATAATACGAATATACATATCTAGATAATACTAACATTGGGAATTGCTGTATACACTTGCACAACTTCACAATAAATGAACACTTTAAGACATTTCATGGTGACATCTTAAATGTATAATAAGTGTATATCTTTCACAATAAGGAACAATCCACACACACACACGCGCGCGCTATGTACAGCAGCATTAACGTAAGTAGTGTTCGACTACACAGCAAGTATACAACATTAATACTTATGAGGCTCTTGGGTTCTATTTTCTGCAAGAAATATTCATACCAATGTCTTAAGGAAACAAGGCAGACACGTCATACATTGTAGACAATAGAAACATAAATTATGACTGCTGATACTGATTAACCAATGCGGAAAGAACTTTGAATAATAATTCCACAGAGAATAACATGACCACATCATTTTACCAGGTGATTTCTTTCCTGTTATATTATACAAGGGGTGAAGTCACTTAAAAACTACCATTCGAAAAGGTATCATTGAATACGACTAACTCCCCATACCCAACCCCAAACCCAAACCCACCCACCTCAACCTCACCCCATCCTAACCAAACTCACCCCATCCCACATAACCACACAGAGAGGAAAACATGTTCATATTTCACGAGTGGATGTACTAGGTGAAGTTAGCCATCATTATTGTGTCGTCAAAGTAATTTGGGTTGGAGTGTGTAAGGTTTACCGTTCCTTTGAGCAATAGCTCAGTTAAAATAAGAGCACGTCGGCTAAATGATGAATGAAAACCTTAATCACGGAAATATTACTCATAAACCAAGAACCTTAATCTAAGTATGAAATAGGAAAGCACGGCCACCTGGCTATGTCCCGTCTATGTCGACTGAGCAGCCCGTGCCCCGAGTCATAAAAACCCTAATCAAAATATAATTTTCAGTCCAGCCCTTACCTTGGAGGTATTTTAATTACTCAGATGACGTGACATGACTGACATAGCTTTATATATAACGAACTCGCTGACATTAAATGACGTAGTCCTTTGTGAACATCATAAACATTGGTCGAAGTAGAGAACATGATGTCAGATGAAAAAGTACATAATCATGTCTAAAAAATGAAAATGCACAAATGCGGGCTTTTTACAATTGCAGTTAAACATGGTAATAACAAATATCACGGGACTGTTCAAATGAGTTGATTACAGGCGAGGATGTATCGATATGGAGCGGGGATAGAGATGTGGTGGTGCCCTACTCAGTAGTACCACACGAGTTATCTCCCATGAATTATTGCCACACGTTGACAATGGCAATGCTTAAATGATTTCAACGAAGACTTTTTTGTCAGGACTTTTATAGTTGCTGTCAATTCTATATTGCTCTCGGGATAGTACTGTTAACCTAAATGTGTGTATACATTCATAATGGGCCACAGCAACTACACCACGGTGTCATGTTTACTTGAAATAGTATTTGCCATGGTCAGCATGCGATAATCGGTAAATGAGAATTGATATGATTGTAAAACATTACACTCTTCGAAGGTAAGACGCAATTTATGCTAGCGTGAGAATATTCAGTCATTAACTTTGTTATTCTAGTCTGCGTTCAAATAATGTCCACTTTGCCGCTTAATGTTTTGCGACAGTAAGATACTAAGGAAAAGTACTGAACAGCAGCCGTGTTGCATTATTATGGTTTCAAAATTCATTCGGATTTGCTTTGCTCGTTTGTTTGTTGTTTAACGTCGCAATGAGCAATATTCGAGCTATATGACGGCGGTCTGAAAATAATCGAGTCTGGGCCAAACAATCCAGTGATTGTTGTCATGAACATCGATCTACGCAATTGGGATACGATGACATGCACCAACCAAGTCAGCGAGCCTGACCACCCGATCCCTTTAGTCGCCTCTTACAACAAGCATAGTCGCCTCTTACGGCAAGCAGGATTCTAAACCGGATCGTCACGGTTACATTAATATTTGTATTAAATATGTAAATCAAACGTGTTTTTACATATGTACACAAGTTGATAATGTGTCAAAGGCATACATATTATTTTACTGAGCTGTGCTTTTATACATTGCATGTTACATGGAGTGTGTGATTGTTGTGGATAGTGGAAACTAGTCTAATGATTGTAGTTGGCGAAGGTTCCTGTGATGTTGTGGCCTGTAATCAGTTCTCCTCTTCCATCTGATGTTGCGGGATTACCAACATACATCATGACCCACATTGGTCTGTCAAAAGCAACATCTGTGACGGTGGTGTACACTGTGTTATCACCGGCATCAATAACTAATATTTTGTCATTAGCCCCATCCATTAGAAAACACAGTTGTAGGTCAATAGATTGTCCAACTCTGTTCTGAATGAGAGGGCGATCAGTGAGGAGGGTGCTATTATAGCCCACACAGAGACACAGCTGCTGCTTGTGGTTGGGGCATGTAGAAACACGTACACTCAGTCCAGTGAGTTGATTCAAGGCAGCATCTACAGGGGTGGGGGTCAGGGCAATCTCTTGTATAAGTTTCTTATCTTCTATCAATTCCTTTACACAAACCCGAAACTTTACGCGATACATGCATCGCTGGGCTTGACAGTTTTTAACCATTAAAGGCCTTGATGCCAGACATGAATAGATATTTTGTATCCGACATCCTGTGTCAGGAGAAGGGGCGGCTGAGGTGGTGTTTGTGATTACACATTCAGACACGTCAATATAGTTATGAGCAGTGCTTGAGTCCCATTCCAGAGTCGGGCCTGTCGGAAGAAAACGTCCATAATAAATACCAACACATCTTGTTGAAGTGTATAACACTTTAACTTCCTAATTCACAAGACACTACCATCTACCAACCAGAAAAAGAAAGTTACAAGTTATCATAGACATTTATAAGAAGCGTTATATCAATTTCAAATGGCATAAGCGTTCTTCTTCTATATATTGGGGTAGTCGGGTAGCCTAGTGGTTAAAGCGTTCGCTCTTCACGCCGAAGGCCCGGGTTCGATTCCCCACATGGGTACAATGTGTGAAGTCCATTTTTGGTGTCCCCCGCCGTGATATTGCTGGAACATATCTAAAAGTGGCGTCAATCTCTACTCACTCACTCACTCACTCACTCACTCACTCACTCTCTTGTATATTTTTTATACATAACATTGAAAACCCAAGAAACTCCTGCATGGAACAACGCTAACGCAAATCCTGTCATAGCTTCTATACTTTAACATTGACTGACACTGCGTTTTACGCTCGTTTAGATCTCGAAAGCCGTCGAACCTATCGAACTCAACAGACGAATGAATGTCAAAACCAATGAATAATATACTGTAACATCATTGAGTCAAGGACACAGATCTTACATGTTATCTCCTGGTCACAGATGCTCCGGTCCATCGCCATCACTGAAACAAAGATATTAATCAGTATGTGTGTCCCATGTACACGTACTGCCTGCCTGCCTGTCGTGAAGATCCGGGTCAGAATAGGTCTAATGGGATCGGGTGGTCAGACACGCTGACTTGGTTGGTGCATGTCATCGTATCCCAATTGCGTACATCGATGCTAATTGTGTCAATCACTGGACTGTCTGGTCCAGACTCGATTATTTACAGACATCCATCATACAGCTGGCATATTGCTGAGTGAGGATTCAAACAACAAACAAATAATGCAGAACGTTCCTGTTTTAACAGTATTATCATGTGAAAAGGAAGTACAACATGCAATTCACTTGACGGGACTGTGTCCCTCAGCTGCCACACGTAATGGAATCCCAGACATCGACGTGCGCCAAGTTGGTGTTCGTACCATGTCAAGCTGACAGGGCACGATAATGTTTGACAGACCGCTATCCCCTGAATGCCACAGGGACATGTATGTCTTTGAGGTCAAATAGAACATATTCAACACCATGCACATTAAACGCACTTCATAGTTTCTGAATTCTGCTGCAGATGTGTTTTTCTGTGATTATCCGGGATTGAGTCGAGATCACTGACATCTGATTTGTCAAGACAACAATTTGAAACGTCACCACGAACCAAAGAATCATTCAGTCCGTTTTAGAAATAAGCCGCAAACATGATTGCCGAAGTGAACTTTCCGTCATGGTATCTCAGTGTCCTAGCTCTATGACATCGGCATTGGTCCAAAGGAGCCACAGGAGCAGTACAAGGAGCCACACACACACACACACACATATATATATATATATATATATATATATATATATATATATATATATATATATATATATACGCATAAATGCACGCACGTAGCTTTTTCAGTACAATAATCTGGAAAGCGACGTTAATACCCTTTACATTTATAAATGTATGTTGTAACCAAACTACAAACGATGTTACTGTGGAACATTTTGAGCATACATACGCTCATCTCACTTCTTTTGAGAAACTATTTCTCCAAGATGCAGCTGGTTGGTTTACGGTGGCCAGTGTTAACATGACGTACTATTTGAAGATGTGTACACATCCTTCGAGGTATAAAATAGTGAAATAAAAGAATGATAAGAATTCAATTTGACACTTTGTGTGAGGATGGGCTTACATAGAGCAAGGGTCAAACTGTATAAACGTCGGTGCATGCACGTCAATGCTTAAATAACAAAATTAATCATATTTTATTCTTAAAAAATGAAAAATACAGAGACAAATTGAAGAGAATAAACACATTCTAATTAAACACATACGTCCGATATTAACAATAGGCTTTTTAGAAACAAATTTGCATGTAATTATATTAATGTCTAACAATTACCCATGTTATGAAATTAACATAAACGAACTTGTTTTTTCAAAGACATTACTTACATGATATAGTCGTAATTTAATGTTGCCGAAAAAGTTTCAAATTCTGTTTTACACATCCAGGTTGTTTTATTTCAGTTGAACGAAAGTTGATGAAATATATAATAATATTTATCAATATACCACTGTCGTCTTGTCTCAATGCCACATCTCCAAAGACATAAAACAAGTCATGACGTCAAACAAACATGTATCAAATTACAGTTTTCATCATATATGCTGGCACTTGATTATTAATGGCACACCATGAGTCATGAATGCTTGAATCTGGGGACTAATTCACATGTGTGATACGCCCATCCATTTCGTTATTACTTCCTTTTTATGTAGTATGATATCCTCATTAATTATGATTTGTGACCTCAACGAATTAGGCTTCACTATCTATATCTGTGAAAGTAAACACTATCATTGAGAGATTATGAGCTGTCTGTTTGTCGAAATATTAAATAACTATATATTATTGTTATCGATCAATACTTGCAGTATGTATTCAGGGAACAGTCTTTATGTCTTTTCGTTTATGTTCATAAATGTAACACATCCGCACAAACGTAAGTGTCAATTACGTGTACACTGAAATATTTGCATATTTGTACCTGAGGCTACATATGAAGTCAATTCTTCTAAATAAGTACGTTGAAGGTATGACTTTACAGGGTGTCTTTTTAATCTTTAACACAAAAGAACAACAAACAAAATTAGTTTATTGTTCAGCGCATTAATGCAACTACGGCCTTATTTGTGTTCGGTTTATGGAAACATAAATCAAACGTAACAACAAACATTTCCATAACAGCATACATATAGACCAAAAAATAAAGAAATGTACTTTGACTTTCGTTTTGTTTTAATCCTATCACTTTCAGCTGGGGTGTGAAATTAAACATCTATTGGAATTCGTTATGATACATTTTTCAGTCAATTTGTAAAATAACTGAATATTCTGAATGAGATATTTAATGTGACACAGATATGGTTTACGTGGATTATAATATGAAGACTATTAAATGCTGGTATAAACCAATTAGAATGAATGATGACAGATATCCCCGACAATGTTATTCACAATGAAGGAGCTGGATGAATGTGATAGAATTACTTGGGCAACTCATATTAAACATTTACTTGACATTTATGGATTTGGTTACGTTTGCACGAGCAGAACATTGGTGATAGTATGGCCAACATTCCTCAGTTATGCCCCTTTACTACTTCGCCAAAAGATGGCGCCAAACGCTACGGTCCTGCGCGTACTTCCGGTATATTACGCGGTTCATAGATATTTGCACGACCAACAACTACAACGAAGTATTTACGATGCCTTCGACGTGCTGCTGTGTCCCGGGATGCTGCAATCGAGGTGGTTTGTCGTTTCCGAGAGAACCCATGTTGCTGAAACGATGGTTGATTGCTATTCGGAGGAGCGACGAATCAAACCAAGGCAAGATGTGGAAACTGTCACCTCACAGTGTTGTGTGTCATTCCCACTTCAGACCGTCTGATTTCATTGCTGTAACTAGTTATGGTAAGATATTTGGGTAACTTGTTATGTTTCTATTCGTTGGCAGATTTAATTAACGTGCATGCCAATTATATTTGTTTTATTTTCTTGCATTGAAATTACGAAGAGGGTTTTACGTGACTCAGAAATGTGTATCCAGTATGCAGAAATGTGAAGAATGGACGCAGACAAAATAGAATATGTTCCGTCCCGCGGGACACACTTATTTTCACAGATAGTTTGATTTTGTCATTGAGTTAAATTGAGTAAAGATTCTTAAAACTTCGAAGTGTGTGATTTTTTTCACAATAATTTTAGTTCCCTCCTGTCAGAGTAGGCGAGTAAATTTGAGTATTGGCTAATTCTAATGTAATCACGTTTGTGTGTGTTTGAATGTGAACCTATGAGTATATTTCATTGTTTTTTTAAAACCAAGATAGAAATAATGTGTCATTTAGGCCTTACTATAGCAGCCATTTTTTTGCCAGTCAGTGATCATGGTGATGTTTAGGTTTGACCCTCATATATTTCATGCAAGGGCCTTTGAAATCAATTACTAGGGGTCTAGTGCATACCCAGTTAATTAAGGTAAAACCCTGTTTACCACCATTATATTCCCGTTGATGAAGTTGTTGATGTTTGACCATAACCCTTCTTAGTTTTCTTCTTTAATTTGTTGAATTGATGATTACCAGGAATGTCAACACATATTTGACGTTTTTGCCTTTAATGCGTCATGTTACATTTTCCTGCAGGTGCTTGTTTTCCACAGAGATGAGGCACAGATGATTCAAGAATACAGGTTCATGTTTGTTCACTTTTGATGTGTATTTGTCAGAATAGTGTCATGTGTACGTGTTGAACTTGAAGACACTTCTCTGTATCAGGCATTAGATGTATGTAATGTTGAGACTATATCTACGAAAATTGTCAGCTAATTTATATCATAATTTTCCTTAATTTAAATGTTTGTTTACTTTTCTAATGTATTGATGTGTATCACTACTATGTTCATAATGTGACAAAACATATCGTGCCCATAGACATTTTTTCTTTCCCTACAAATTAACTTAAATCTAATCATAAAAAGCTATCTCACAACTGGTAGTAAAAAGATTGCACAATATCTGTTTGGAAAATAATAATCTACTGCTGTTTTCCCCAGGGTGTACACCTCTGAGGAAACAGAGAAAACCAGATGCTGTACCATCAATCTTTCCCTGGACTGCATCAGCCAACGCACTTGAGGCCGATGGGGGATTACGGAAATCCCGCATTGAAAGACGTGAGAGCCAAAAGAGGACATTTAAAGCAATGGATACAGATTGTGATATTGAATGTGATATGAGTGAGGTAGCTGGGGAGGAAATAATTGACAGTGTTGAGTTTGATGACATGAATACCGACTTAAACATTTGTTCTGCAGATAGTGCAGAGGTTGAATATGAAAGTACATCGGCTCAGACGGACAAATTTCCAATGCTTTCATTACAAAGTATTATGTTTAATGCTGCAGCAATTTTGTTTTATACAGGACTGTCAAACTATACAGACTTCACCTTTGTACTTGCAAGTTTGGGTCCGTGTGCATATCACCTAAATTATTTGTACAGCAAAGTTGACAGTATGACAACAGTGTGGAAAATCAATTGCTTTTAACACTTATGAAACTGCGCCGACATAAGACTAACTTTGAACTTGGTCTTCATTTTGGAATTTCAGAGAAAACTGTATTAAATGTATGGATCACCTGGGTAAATTTTATGTATAGACAGTGGAGTGAGCTTGATAACTGGCCAGAACGAGACTTAGTGCATTATTTTTGTCCTTCTGATTTCAAATCCAAATTTCCATCCACACGAATTATCATTGATGGTACTGAATGCCCTATCCAGAAACCAAAACGCCCCATAGCTCAGCAGTCTACCTACTCAACGTATAAAAATCGAAATACTATCAAAATACTTGTTGGATCCACACCAGGTGGTCTTGTGTCGTATGTGTCTCCTGCGCATCGTGTCTCCTGCGTATGGTGGCTCCACAAGTGATCGTCAAATAGTAGAGCGTAGTG